TACCTGGTCTGTGGTAGACTTTCAATGCTAACAAAAGGAGTTTCTGTGGTTGCATGCTCTGGTTAAAGTCAGGCAGGGTTGTACTGTGGTTTTGTCTTTGGCTTTGTGCGGGGCCAAGGGGAAGAGAATTGGGGGCAGGGTGTCTGGGAAACTGAGTCCTAGCCCATCAATACCATTTGAATGAGGCAAAAAAGAGTGGGAAGAGTTCAAGATTACTCAAAAGTAGGGCCGGCAAGATAGCTCAGCAGACTAAGCACCTGCTTAGGCATGCACAGGGACTGGGGTTTGATCCCTGGCACCACATGCCACACTGGCCCCATCCCAGGGATGCTGAGCTGGCAACCAAGTCTGGGCATGGTGGCACATGCCTGTAATCCCAGTGATGGGAAGCTTGAAAACAGGAGAATCACTACAAGTCTGAGTTGCACAATGACACCCTGAACAAAATACTTAAAAGAAAAAAAGAACTAAAAAAAAAAGAAAATATTACTCAAAAGTTATTGTAATAAATGTCCCGGGTAAGGAGTGTATGTTTGGAAAAAGAAAATAATATTGTGTAGTTTCCATTTGCTTTCAGAAGTAAATCAAGAGGAAAACCAAGGTGGCTTGTGTCATGGAAGACACAGAGGAAGGAATGAGTGGCTAGCACACATTCCTCAGGGCAGAGGAGAAAAGGCATGAGCAATCAAGAAACTTGAATTTAAGAACCTAGCAGCTAGGAAAGTGCAGCTTCAGAAGACCCACAGGAGAGCAGACTGCGTTACAGTAAACTGAAGTGTGAGAAGAAGGAAGTTAGCCACACACATTTCACAGAGAGGGAAAGAGAGATGAGCAGCAGGGTGTGGAGGAGACAGGTTGATAAAATGCTTTTAAAATGGTAGAAATCCCAGTATGTTTATGGCCTGAAGCTGAGAGAAAGGACACAGATGTCTTTGGCCCTCGCAGGATTGATGACGTTGCTCTCTCTGTCATTCCTGTGTCTTGATCAGAACACTTTCTAGGTGCTTCTTACCAAAAGCAAACTGCTCAGGGTGTGCTAAAGAACTCACTATTCTTTTTACAGACAAAAAGAGACCCACCTAGGAGGCACAACATGATCTGATGTGTCACTGCGGCACAGTAGCTTGCCAACTGGGTGAGAATCACAAGGGATCACAGTATGTGACACGTGGCAGGTGCTTAAGCGATATTCTCTATGAAATAGGTTGAAAAAATCTATACCAAAGAGAAAAGTGAGAGCTCCGAACCCAAATAATAGTA